TATGCATATTCTTTGGTGAAACTAAATGTACCACCTGTTGGACAACGTTCTTTTCTCGAGTACCATATGATAGGTACCATCCTTTGATAATTTCTTGTTTCTACAGGGGGAGATGCAACAACTTCGTGACAAGCTTGCCGTTGCAGAACGTACAGCACGATCTGAAGCTCAACTGAAGGTACATAACTTGTTTGTTACAGTTGAGCAGCCAGGTTGTGTTCTGCTGATTGCTTGCCTATTAGCTTTCTAGCTTGACATATAGATGGAACCTGTTACAGCCTTCATATTATAATGCAATCTAGCATTTGTTAAATGAGTTAGTTCAGATGAGCTAAACTTCTGCACCTTACTCAGGAAAAATATCAGTTACGTCTGAAAGTACTAGAAGATGGACTAAGGGGGCCACCAAGTGGCTCTAGTCGTCCACCTACTGAAGGAAAGAGCTTTAGCAATGGCCCTTCCCGCCGGTTATCACTTGGTGGAGCTGATAACATATCAAAGTTGTCTCCAAATGGCTTATTGTCAAGGAGATCTCCTTCTTTTCATTCAAGATCATCTCTTTCGTCAAACAGCAGCTTGGTTCTGAAGCATGCTAAAGGCACTTCGAAGTCATTTGATGGCGGAACTAGGTCACTAGATAGGGGAAAGGTCCATGGAAATGGAGCTCATTTACTCAACAGATCTACAGATGCTGTTAGAGATAAAGAGACTAATGATAGTTGGAAGGGCGATATGGATGAAAGAACTAATGATAGTGCAGTCAGCAATGCAGATGAGAAAAGTAACGAAACCACAAATAATAACTCAGCTGAGACAGTTTCTGGTTTCCTATATGATATGCTGCAAAAAGAGGTAATTTCTTTGAGAAAGACATGCCATGAAAAGGATCAGATTCTAAAAGATAAAGATGATGCTATTGAGGTATGCGTCCATTTCTTTTCTTATTTGCGCACTTTAGTGGATAGTTAGTTATATACTGATTATTATGAAGTTTGCTTATCTATTGTTGTCTGGCAGATGTTAGCAAAGAAAGTAGACACCTTAACCAAAGCAATGGAAGTGGAGGCTAAAAAGGTCAGACGAGAGGTTGCAGCCATGGAGAAAGAAGTTGCAGCAATGCGTGCCAGTAAAGAACAAGAAATCAGAGCCAAGCGGCTTGGTACGAAAGGCTCTGGTAGTTCACAGCTGCTTCCTGGAAGGTACATTTTCAGGAATGCTACAATTTTTTTTATAAAAGTTTGAGGTCCTCATTATTGAAATGCTCAAAAAAATTTCGAACCGAATGCTCAATGCTTAGGATACTGTTTGATCATTGTTAAGGGTACTAGTCATTAGACTAGGGAGATTACACTTGTTAAGGGTATTAGTGTAATCTCACTAGTCTAGGGTTTTTCTCCTGTGTCCCCATGTATTCTATATATAGTCCCCCTATTAGGCCTCAATACTACAATCCAGTTCAGTCCCCCTTTATTCGTAACAATCATAAGTAGCTAAAATAGGTAGCCTAATACATATCTGGGAAGAGGTTGAGCAGTAAGTATCCTACATATCCATAGATGTTAGTTTTATTTCATGACACTTTCACTTTTATTTTCAGATATTCTCTTAGTTTTTTGTTCTCCATGTTTATCATGCCATGCACAACAATTTGCGATACATGTGATCCTCATATAATGTCCTATTGATTGTGATAAATATAAGTACCATCAACAACTGTATCTTTGGTTTGAAGAACCTTTGTTTTCATATAGTGCAATCTTTTGAAACCATTGATGTTTGTCTTATAGACTGCTGCAAGCTGGTGCAAAATGTCTTATATCCCCCCAACAAAAAAATCCTGTTCTTTTTTCTAAATCATATTGAATTCTGTTCTATGCCTGCAGAAACGCACCACGAAGTGGGTCGATGCGCAACTTCCAGTGATGGCAGCACTAACACCAAGCAGCATTCTTGGATAGATCGTTTTCTGTTCCACCATTTGTTCCATTCATATCCTATTAATTTTGTGGCCAAAATCATAGCACAGTGAGATGACCCAACAATACCTAGATCAGCGTAAGAGTAGGCTCGGATCTGATGAGACCATTGTGAGAGTGAAGCTGAGCCTATGTGTCTAACCTTGTGGCGCGCCCTCTTGTTTCTTTTTATTAGTCCAGGCAGTGCACCTGATGCTTGTATAGGCTGGGGATCTTCGCATGCCCAATCTGTAATGTAGCTTGAGTGCTCAGTTACACAGGACACCCATTGCCCAGGTTGTGAATATTGTATCCTCTCACATGCTTGTTTGCGCTGCTCTGTTTGCCCTGTGTTTGGGTTGGAATTTTTAACATGTCTTCTGGCTTGTCTGAGTTCTGTTGATTAAGTGGTGACACATTGTTCATCTGCATATGGTACATCAAGTGGCAACTGCCAACTGATATGTATCCTCTTCCTGTCTTCCATGTATGGCATGCTTCTGGATCGGGTTGGCATTGGGATATTGCTCTTCAAAAAATTCCTTTAGCACTGTCGGGAGTGTTTGATTTAGGCCTTGCTTGGATACCACAGCTCAGCTATCTGTGCATGACTGTCATTGTCAAAGAGCTACGGTTTCAGATAATTTTCCAGTGCTACAATTTTGCGCGGATTCACATGCCACCCGAGTTTATGTGTGGACCCTGGATTCGTACGTAGACTTGTGTTGCTGATCCGTGAGACTATTCTATGAAACTATTCTTGGAGGTTGTAGCTTGTTGACAGTTTTTCATATAGATTTCTAGTTTTGTGAAATGATCCACTAAACCTTTCGACGTGACAACACAAATTCACTAAGATAGTATAGTAGCATTTTTTTTGGAATTGTACGCTGCAACGAGGGTGATGTGGCCAAATGGCTACCATGTCGTGGACCAATGCAAACTTAAACTCCATTCTCAGTTTAACAAATTGTCCTCAAACTGATGAGCTCTTCAGCTCGAATATTTCATTTGCAACCTTGGGAAATGCCCATTACAATTTGAAATTGAACTTTTCAGATGTGGATATCAAAAAGTCAATTCTTTTTCTTATTATTCTCTTGCTATTGAGCGAAATATTTTTATAGATTCACCCAATTGCATTAGGTCGCTTACTTATTTCCTAAAGTGAACATTGGTGTCACAATATTTTTTTTTCTTTAGGCTTCTAGAACCGTTTCTGAATTATTGCACAATTAAAATGTACCGTTAGATGTCCTAATTGCTCTTTACCATTTAAAATGTACCGTCTCAGATTTTCAGTGCTCCAGTTTAAAAGGGAAAAATAGCAATAGCAATGAAATAACGTGTTCCATGTAGAGAAATAAAATGTTCCAAAAATTGGGGCTAAGAGATCTTTTTGGCATGTGAGATGTGCAATGATCAAGGAACAAAATCTAATGTTCGAAAAAATCAGGTATGATTTTGTCCCACTTTTTCCATCATGTAAGGATGAATTTGAACTATTGGATTTAAATTGAATGGTTAGAAAGTTGATAGATTTTTATAGGTGACAATCAATCAATAGATAAATAGATAGCCCCTTCAAATTTTTTATGCTTATAGACAGCTGCTTCCTTATGGGGAAATCTGCTCATCTGGTTCAGATCCTAGAATTAGCACGGGAGTAAAAAGTTGAAACAACATTATTCAGTAGAGGTCATCAATAACAAGATGCATGTGATGACTATGTCAATTTTAAGATCCGTCAACTTAATCTTTTAAGTTCATCAGCGTAGAGTTGAGTTTACATGAGTGAATATGCATGTATGTACGTGCGTTTCACATCTGTACTGTGCGCTTAAAAAATACTATATTCGTCCTAAAAATCTTGATGTTTAAGTTTTGACATTAATTAGACTATATTAAGTTAGGATAATTTATAAAGAAGATTATTAACATTTATGATATCAAATAGGTATGCTATAAAAATATATTTTATGATGATATTTTTAGTAATATAAAATTGGTATTTAAAAAAATAAGATACTTTGATTTAAGACAAAACTAAATGTCTAAGACCAAGGTAGTATGATTTTGCGGCATGGTTGGAAAAAAAACTGTTTCTAGATCGCAAAGAGTGAAAAATGAAGAGAAAGGGACGAAAACAAAAGGACGAAAGAGCACTAGAGATCCGTTCTTCTCGTGCACTAATTCCTCGCAGACTGTTTAGCCTCTGCAGTTATATGCCCGCCCCAGCGCCCGGCATCCCCCTGATCCCTCTCTGCTTCCGGTCTTCCTCCATACTGCCTGCGGCGCCGTGGCGGAGGCCGTCGAGGTCAGCTCTGGCAGGCGAGCATCCTGCGCCGTGCGGCCATCGTGTCTCGCGGTCGTTCGCCGTCGAAGGTACATTATCCATCCTCACCAACTCTTTGATGTCGATCCTTTGGATTGTGATGAGGAGCCAGTACTAGGAGACAGGACTAGGAGCATTTTGGCCAAGTAGCTTTACCTGTAATACTCAACGGAGGATCTTTTTAGGGCGGCACAACTCCTCCTTCTGGACACAAACACAACGGGGGATCTTTTACTATTTCCGATCCAGCGAATGCCGTGTTAGGATCAAGTGGCGCCCTGCAGTTTGGCGCACCAGTTCAGTGAAATGCCACACAGTGGCAAACTGGTCGGTACAATTTAGCATCAGATGGAGAAATCTGTGCAAAGCATGCTTTGTTACAAGGTTTCCCTAACTGCCATCCCTGCGCCTGAAGCCATATGTCAGTGATTCATTTTTTATTTTGTATAACAAAACATTCATCCCTGCTATACTATCATGAACTCTTCTTTGTTTATTGAAACCATTGGCATTACTACTACTTGGTTTTATTGCTTCCATATATAAAAACAGATGTTAATTTTTGTTTTCAGGTAGCACCACATGTTGTCTTTGAGCTGACATCATCTGAAAGACTGAAATAGTCATCTCCAGCTGTTGGGATTCTGTACATTGCAAATACTCCTCGCTGAACTGCCCAAGCAATCCTCAATTTTCATTGGATGCCCACCATGCAGTTTTCGAAAGACCTCACTGAGACAGAATACAAAGTTCACCTGGTGAAGATAGATAGATATTCTACAAACAAAGAGTACCTAAGATCTGTGGCGTTGTATAAATCAGAGTATATCTCCTATGGGACATTTGACGCGGCTGGATATGACTGGGAAGTACGTTACCATCCATTTCATCCTGATTTGAGCAAAGAGTGGATAGCATTCCGGCTTGGGCTGCGTAGCAAAGTGTGTGAGAATGGGGTGAAGGCGACTCTTCGATGTCAGTTAGTTGATGTGACCGGAATTCTCCCACCATTTGGAGATCAGCGTGCCACCTACAGATACACGAAGCAAGAGGAATTAGGACCACCAATTTTGCTTCTAACACATGAGGAACTACTAAAATTGGGTTATCTAAAAAATGATTCCTTGGCTGTGGAATGCGCAATCAGTGTTTGGAGAAGCCCGCGGGGAGCAGGAGCTAATGTTCACCCCAGTGCTGGATTGCCGTCCACCGATTTGCACCAACAGCTTGGTGAACTACAGCAAAGCCATAAGGGGGCTGACATCACACTCTTTGTTTCAGGTGAATCTTTCATGGCACACAAGATCATACTCGCCGCTAGATCTCCCATCTTCATGGCTGAATTCTTTGGGCCGCCCATGAAAGAGAGCAGCTCGGGTGTCGTCGATATCAAGGGCATCGAACCAGCAGCCTTCAAGGCTATGCTCCATTTCATCTACACCGACACATGCCCCGAGCTCGCTCAACAGCACGGCAGCGACATTGGGCGTCAAGAGTCGATGGCCATTGCACAACATCTTCTTTCAGCTGCTGATAGGTTTGGACTGGACAGGCTTAAGCTCATGTGTGAAGACAAGCTTTGCAGTGGCATCAACGTGGGCATGGTTGCCACGAATTTGGCTCTCGCGGAGCAGCACAGCTGCTGCAGGCTAAAGACCAGATGCATCAAATTCATTGTTGATTCTCCTGCAAATCTTGAGGCTGTTTTGGCAACCGAGGGTTACAAGCACCTCGTGGCAAACTGCCAATTTCCCATGACTGAACTTCTCAGGTCTGCCGTTGAGAAGAGGTAGGTGTTACTTATTGCTAAACATTTGCAGAACTTCAGCAAACCTTTTTTGGAGGCCCCTACACCTTGCCGTGACTAAGCAAACTGTGGGCACCTGAAATGCATATGTATGGTATTTCTGCACTGAAGGAATTTTGCAATAATCCTGCTGCCCAAGCGAGCCAACCTCCCGGAAAATTCAAGTATCTGATATGCAACTGTTGCACTTTTCTGAATTTTCATTTGTATTGGCATATTATGCTAAATAATTCAACCCTACCAGTCAAATTTTCAGTTTGTTTTTTCAGCTTGTTTTTTTTTTCAATTGGAACAGTGTTTTTCTCTCACTGAATAATTCTGTTATACATTTTTTATCGACGAAAAGTGATACATACATTCCATGATAATTGTTAGATGCATATTTTTTTTTGTCGATGACAAGTGTGCCAACGTAACCTCTTGGAGAAAATGAAGTATCTTTTTTTTTCTTCGCGATCGTGCTGTGGCACGTTTTTCATTAAGCAGAAGTAGAGTTTGTTACAACCTAAGCTGGCTACAGTAATCCTGAGACCAGCAACGAAAAAACACACGTGGTTGTGATTTACACAGTAATATTTTGCGACAAACAAGCTAAGCACAAGGCTTAACTATCCTCGGCGTCAAACCCGACCAGATCCAGGTTCATGGCCACCGGATCGAATCCGTTCCCAAATAGCGCATCTAGTGCCTCCTGCATGTTGGCCGACAAAGGGGCCACAAAGGTCGCCCGAAACTTTTCAACGATCCCATCGTCCACACCGTTGTAGTCGACGGTGATACCAAGCTTCTGCTTCAAAACATTCTACGCCTATAGCTTGGAGTTGGCCGCGCGGGGTTTCCTAGCGGTGTTGTCCGGTATCAATATTAGGGATACCTGGAAGAAGTAAGCTGATGGCCGCGAACGCTAACTCGCCCGGATGGCCAAGAGCGTATTTTGGACTCGGCCGACCCAGAAGGTACGGGCTCTGTCCCGCCCGACCCTGAGGGAGTGGGCTCCCGTCACGCCCGACCCTGAGGGCGCGGGCTCCGTCACATCTGACCCCGAGGGTGCGGGCTCCGTCTCGCCTGACCCCTCAGGCGCGGACTTCGCCTCGCCAAACCCCTCGAAAGGGGATTCCACCTCACCCAACGGGGTCCGTACCGCCTCCAACCACTACGGGTCTGAGAGTACGAACCCAGGGTCAAACTTCTAACACCAAAAGTGGAGTAGGCGCGTCTTGACGTGACCCGCAGCCACGGCAGGCCATACTTGAGGACTCACATCACCAACAGTGTCGGGCGTGCCGACGCTATGCTACCTAATCCCCATACGACTTCCGACGGGGGTATCGCTAACCATGCTGCCCACCGGAATGGAATGGAGCGCCACAACCGGCTGACGACGCCCACATATATCGCTAGTGATGAACAGGGTAGCGACGTGGAGCCATCCCCGTCATCATCTATAGGACCGGCTGGACCCGTGTAAAGGAGATGAAGGGCGCCGTGACCCCGGAGTCCTTCCTCCTCCTTTTCTCTCTCTCTCTCTTTCTCTCGTGTAACCTACGCCTTCCCCTTCAACTATAAAAGGGGAAGCAGGACGCCCACGAACGGCTCAAGGCTGGAAGGAACTGATTTCAACTAGACTCAACTCCATTCGATCCTTCCATCAGAGACTTGGGACCTTCTCCCTCTCTCGCCCGTTTGTAACTCCTACTACAAACAAGTGTCGTTAACACAAGCAACCTCAAACTGGATGTAGGGACATTACGCACGAACCAGTATAAAACCTTGTGTCCTCCGAGCACACCATCCGGGCCAGACGCGCAAACACAAATTTACTAGTTGGCGGTTCGAAACATCGACATTTGGCGTGCCAGATAGGGGTCTTTTGCGCGTCTCGTCGTCCACAACAGGCCACGGATGGCTAGCCATGGCGTCAGTTGGGTCCCGAGCGTGCACATGCGCTTCAGGAGCCTGGATTTCTTCTTCACCAGGAGGAGAGCCAGTGTGGGCTCCGGTCGCCGTCCAACTTCTTCGCTCCACCGGCCTCGACGCAACCGTCGAGGCCCTCGAGGAGCTGCCACGACGCCGGAAGCCCGTGCCCCTGGGAGCGGCTAGCTCCTTGGCTTCGATTATAGGAGGCTGGAGCACCAGCTCGACGCCTTCCTAGGACCCCGACCGTCCCGGGAGGACCTGCGTTGCCTCACCTTCTCGTTCGCCAACGTCATGACGTAGCTTGCTGGAGGGGAACTGCTCTCCCCAGAATACCTCACTCGGAGCGCCCCGGCAGTGTTCCCGTTCGGTCTGCGCAATGCCGCAAGGACCATTGGTCACCTCGTGATGAATTCATGGGTATGACAGACTATGTCGTGGAATCTTTCCACGACCTTTTCACGGGAGATTTAGAGACGATCTCTGACTCTGACTCCAGCAGGGGAAGCCATCACCCCTTGCAAGAATGCTTCATGGTAGGCACCCCCGAGGGCCACGTCAAAAGCGTCCACGAGGGAGGGCTACTCTATGAATGACCCTGACGACGATGCAAGGGCCTCACCTCGCCTGCGGGTAGAGCAGCTAAGGGCACAACACAAGGAGATCAAGGATGCGCGACTCCAGCTAGAGCAGGAGAGTGTGGAACTCGAGCACGAGATTGAACGCCGCGAAGACGGAGGCCGTGCGCGCGCCATCGCCACGACATAAACAGGAGGATCATCGAGGACGACGGAGGCCTCCCATACTTTGCCTAGGTAAGCCAGAACATAGTTGCCGCAGTGGCCTTGCTCGAGGGCTCCCGGAGCCCGTGACACCCGAAGACTGTCGGACCCATCGTGAGATCCGCACGCTGCTCGATCACGCGACGGTACGGCCGGCGGAAAGCTCGCTGTCTCAGTGACGCGAGCTCGATGCCAGTCAACGCGCATCTTCGGGACGACATGGCTAGGACGTATCCGTCCACTAGGAGCCATGTGACGATGGGGGCTTGCCCTGGTCTCGGTGCATGAGCATCTCGGCCCCAACAGTGACGCACGTAACACCTTGGATGCCCATAGGCCGACAAGAGAGGAGGCCGGCCGCGGCTACCACCGTCATCGCGGTGGATGCTATGACAGCGGTGAGGACCGGAGCCCGAGCCCCGATCTGCTGGGGCCCCAGGCTTTCAGCCGACACATCCTCAACACAGCTTTCTCGCCGTGGTATCGACCACCGACCAACATCCTGAAATAGTCTGAGGAAACAAACCCCGGCCTGTGGCTCGAGGATTACCAGCTTGCTTGTCAAGCCGGCGGTGCACATAGTGATTACTTCATTATCAACAACCTCCCCTTGTTCCTGGCCAATTCGGCACGAACATGGCTGGAGCACATTCCGCCCAACCGGATTCAAAGCTGGGCGGACCTAAAAGAGATCTTTGTGGGAAATTTCTAGGGCACCTACACGCGCCCTGGGAACCCTTGGGATCTGAAGAATTGTTGGTCCGGGGAATGCAACGAGTTGCCCAACGTTGCCGATGCCGACGTCATTGGAGCCTTCCTGTCTGGGAACACCTGCGAGTCCCTGGTCCACAAGCTGGGACGCAAGGGCCCTCGGACCACCAAGGAGCTCCTCGACATCACGACCAACCATGTCTCAGGCAAGGAGGCGGTCGTAGCAATTTTTTATCGCCCCAAGGGCAAAGCGAAGCGGGACGAGGATGCTTGCGAAGGCACCTCCAACTGTCCGAATAAGAAGAAGAACAAGCAGCGACACAGGGGATCGCGCATGGCCGCTGCCAAGCAAAAAGGCGGTCGGGCACCCGCCGAGGGTGCTCCCAACCACTTCGAGAAGCTACTCGAGGGGCCGTGCCCGAATCATGCCTTTCCCATCAAGCACCTGTACAAGGGCTACGCCCTCATGAAGCGTATCCTGTCCGGTGGCTCCAAAAAGGCGGACCAGGGGAAGAAGCTTGAGCCAGCGATGGACGACACCGAGGGGAAGGATGGCAGCTTTCCGATGCCTGATGACTGCCTCATGATCTTCGGTGGGGCGGCAGCTTACGACTCCAAGTGCCGCTGAAAGCTCGTGTGTCGTGAGGTTTACATGGCTAAGCCAGCCATGCCATCTTTCCTCCGGTGGTCGGAGCCCACCATCACTTTTGACCGATCCGACCACCCAGAGAGCATCCCATAGCCGGGAAGGTACCCGCTCGTGGTCGACCCGATCGTCGGCACAAAGCGGCTCACCAAGGTGCTGATGGATGGAGGCAGCGACCTCAACATCATGTACGCCGAGACGCTTGATGCCATGGGCATCGATCAGTCGCGTGTCCGACCGACTGGGGCGCCTTTCCATGGCATCGTGCCAGGGAAATAAGCCATACTGCTCGGGCAGATCGACCTACCCGTCACCTTCGGGGATTCGGCCAACTATAGGACGGAGACCCTCACCTTCGAGGTGGTCGGGTTCCACGAAACCTACTACGCCATTCTAGGACAACCATGCTACTCGAAGTTCATGCCGTCCCCAACTACACTTACCTGAAGCTCAAGATGCCCGGCCCGCGTGGGGTCATCACCGTCGGCACCTCCTTCCAGCACGCTTATGAGTGCGAAGTTGAGTGCTGTGAGCACGCCTTGGTGATTATCGCCTTCGAGGAGCTCACGGTCATCAGGGAGGGGACCGCCGAGGAAGCACCCAACTCCACACGGTCAGCTAGATCTTTTGAGCCCGCAGAGGGCATCAAGGAGTTCTCATAGACCCTAGCAGCTCTGAGGACAAAGTGGTGCACATCAGCACTACACTTTCCTCCAAATAGGAAAGCGCGCTCATCGACTTCCTCCATGCCAACAGAGATATCTTCACATGGAAACCCTTAGACATGCCAGGCATTCCGAGGGAAGTCGCCGAGCATGCCTTGAAGATCAGTCCAGGCTCCAAGCCGGTAAAGCAGTGCCTGTGTCACTTCGACAACAAGAAGCGCAAGGCCATCGGTGAGGAGATCGCGAAGCTTTTGGCGGTCGGATTCAT